ACATCGATTAAGTATCTATATAATAAAAATTGGAAAATAATACYAATAATCAATATTTAAAAATCGAGAACTAATAATTTACATTCAAAGATAAAGTGTGATATAGTATCAGAGAATTTTACTATAGGTACTTTCAAAAAATTTAATAAATTAGGTAAAGTTTATAATTTAGTATTTGGTACCTATTTAGTACTTACCTAATATCAGCATAACTGCATAAGCTATTAAACCCTGCTGAATACAAACATATAGGTATCATATAAATCGTACCGTCTATACTTCCTAGGTATATATAGAATATAATATGTATTTAAATGAAATATTTCATCAAAATAATACTGGTTATATTTTAAATTATATTTATTTAATAGAAATTGCATTTTAACATTTACAAGAATTGCACATTAAACTATAAATTTCAGTGGCGAAGCGTGAGTCTATTTATAGGCCGGGGAGACATTGAACTACAAAACTTGAATGAGTGTCTATGCAGGGGAGAACTATAAACCAGAAACGTACGGTTCCACGGAGCGACATATTCAGTAATGCGCTGTATTAAAGGTATATTTCAACTAATTCAACTATTGTTCCGAAAAACGAACTCCACTATATATAGACTCGAATACAATCATAAAAATAGTTTTCAACTCGTATAACTGAAGTGGTCTATAATTGCTTAAATATATCAATTGTAAAAAACGCCATAAATCTATAAAAATAATAACAAAAATCGTAAATATTAACCAGTTTACTATAAAAATATTGAGGTACTTGAAGCGAAATTAAGTACTCTATGGTTTTCAGTACATGATTTGGATTACGATTATTTTTTTTCTTATAAAAACGTAAGTTACATGGTGATACTTGTATAAATTACTCGTATATAGTGAACTGGTTCTTCACAACTTTAATATTTATCGAATTGGTAAAAACTAAAAAAAAAGGTCCATAATATTATAAAAGAGGATGTGGTGTAGGTTTGGTTTCAGCTATTGGTTCAAAGATAAAATATTATTCATCGAGAATTATACCTATGGACTCCATTGAACTCCATTGGTCTCCTTTATTCTAGTGAAAATAAATATGATCGAAGATTTTGCATTCGAGATAACTATGTACCAAATKCATGTTGTCCATTATTTTTATTTTTGCTAATAACTAATAAGTAAGAACTCTCGTTTAATATTATTAGGCGGTTACAATTTTTTGAATATTTTTATTTCTATTATAATAACTAATAAGTGATAATCATGGTCTTCTATACAATAGTATTCACTCAAATCAATAAGCTGATGTGTTATTTAACTTTACTATTTGCTTTTCGGATTATAGGTACCGACATAGGTATCTAATATGATATAATTATATAAATATATATATTGGACTTGCAATTTGATTTAGTTATTTCTAACGATGCAAATACAATTATTATTATTTGTTAATAATTTAAATACAATAAGTCTAATACCAATGGTTGATATTAGTAATTATTATCTAATATTAAAAATGTCAAGTGGATTAAAATAAGGCTCTATAGAACTTAATATTTTCATATTATGATGTGAAGGAGTGTTGTTTTTAAAGATTTTACAAAATTATTTATGTATGATTTATTTTGCAGTTAGATACTTATTTTATATAATTGATTAGAATTACTTGTCTATTTCCATGCGAATATATTGATTATTTACCGTGTAAATAATTTTTATGAAATTGGGGCATTTATCAATTTTCAGAAGGCGATATTTTGAAAGGTTTGAATTTTATTGAAGTTCGAATTTTTTACACTACCCCACAATAGGAATCTTAATTATTGTCTTTAATAGAATTTCTTACATATGCAGTTTGATTCCCGAGAAGGCGTATTTATTATTRGTTCAAAAAATATTTTTTTACATTATACCTATCAAAATACTTATTTGAGGCAGAGTGCGAATGAGGTACCGTTTCAATTAATTAAGATTCTAAAATATGTTAATTAGAATAATAAAAGAAATATGCACCTGTACTGCGTAATTCAACATTTGCTTCATTCTAAATTTCTAAATTTATTTTATTTTTAATACAAAATTAAAAGTAGGTACATTACTACATTATAACATAGTTGAAGTCACTGATCGGGTAAATATTTGAAAATAGGTAATAGGTAGGTACATATTTAATAATCAAGAATTAACAGAAGAACCATTATTTTAAACTTAAATTGTATCAATACTATATACCTATACTAACAATTTAAATTCAGTATAACCAAGAATATGAATATGTTCAAAATGGTTGTTTTTGGTGCATGTATGTAAAATCTATACAAAATTAGAAAACTATAAATATTCTTGGTAATAAATTCTGCTTAGAAATTGTTCGGGTAAGATAATTTAAATATATTTTGTATTTAAATTCCATCCAAGCTTTTACCTAGTTCAATTTAAGAAAATATATTGTGAACTTCTACCAAAATTATACTAAGTATGTTATACATATACCTATATGACTGCAGTATATGTGTTAAATATAGATCTTATATAAATAAATGTTATCATTGTTATCAAKCTTATAATACCTACTTAGTATCTATTACAACTACATTATTATAATATGTTATTGTATTGTAGGTATAATCGCGATCTGATTTCTAAATTAATTAATAATATCGACGCACCCCTATACTAATATAGTATAGGTACTATATGTATATAGTATGCTATACTATTATACCAATAGAAAAAAAAAATAACCTRATKAAGTCCAAAAAATAATTTGAAAAAAATATATTTTCCTTCTCATTTTACGGACGTAAGACTCTGTCAGTAAATTTATGTCAACAAATAATAGTAGCTAAAAATGTATTATGTTATAAATATTATTATTATTAAAGGCAGATATCATTACCTAGTACCGGCGATTACGGCTCCTATAAGAGGGAGGAGGCTGTTGGAATGAATTCGTAATTTTTGAAATATTGAAATGATGATACTGATGATAGGAATTCTTATTTTATATGTATTAAAAAATATTTTATACTTGGACCCGCAAAAACATTTAGTAGGTGTTTGGGCCTGCCGACGTTTAACTATATATATACCACTGATTTATACTTGCACGGCGGAAATAGTCATTTAATCCTACGTTGTACTTATTTCATGTCTTTACTCGCTATAGTGATAAAATTATGCAGATAAAAAATAAAATAATAATATACAAATCCAATATCAATAATCTGTATACATGTTTTATCGGAATAAATTAGGTACATTACAATCGGACGAAATATACAGCTATGAAATGACATGACATACATATTATAAAATTCCCCATCTGCTGAGACTGGAACTGTAGACTCCACAATTTAATGATTTCAATGAATATTGAACAGGATTTTTTTAAACCGATTAAAAATATATAATGTTAAAAAAAAAATCTTCAACGAGTAGATATTTTTGTCACTATATACAGATTTCCATAATTTTTTCAATACATTTTATTATAGGTATTATGCATTGCGCATTGCACATCACGCGAGAATAATACAATAATCAAAACTAGCTTACCTGAAGATTTTGAAGTTTGTAAGACGTCTCTGATCAAGTCTCTAATGAGAAACGAAGGTTTGGGGCACTCCATGATGACGTGTCTTTATTTGTTTCTTGATAGCAATGTATATATATATTATATTATATTATATTGCTAAGGTGTACTTATKATATTAAAGCTTCGTATATCGTAAATATATAGAGGTATAATAGGTATATTAAATTACCTATATTTGAAGCGCATACGAATATATTAAAATTGATATCGTGATCTAAAAAGGACGCAGCCGGGTTCAAGAATAATATAGTATTGGCGGGTCGTATCATATACGATACACTATTGTAGACTGTACCGCGGTAGAAGACCGTTTCGCAGCAAGCATATATTTAAGTGGTTTATACCATATTTTGATATTACGTACTGTACCTATAATAGGTAAACGGTAAATAGTAATGCGATATTGCGAAATCGTTATGAGATTTGTAAGAGTATAGGTAATAGTGTTGATCCGCGTATAATATGATATAGTAGGTACTATAATATAATAGTGGTATATGTACTACGCGTCGTCGTCGACTGCAGCGTCCTTGGAAACGTTCGACGAAAAGCTGTTGGCCGTGTAGCGGTGCTCGCCCGTGCGCGGTTGATTAAACTACATTCGCGGTGAAGAGTCGTTAGGAGGAGCTTGTCGGGGTGACACATCGCGTGGTTTACGCACGTACACGCGCACACGCATCTACGTGATAAATGTATACGTTGGTGTATTATATGTAGAAAAACCGACGTTTTTCGCCACCGCCGGCGGACACGAGTATTTTTCCGCTCATGTTTATATTATAATAAATATTATGGTACACGCGTATTACTATTTATTACGCTGTGAAGCATAATTTGCGAGGCGGCCAGCGGTCCACCCTCTCACCACGCCGCCAAGTGGTACATACCAACGCGCCATCGGGAAGGGGGAGGGGTAGTCGTTTACGCGCGCCTGCGGTTGGCCGGTCCGCGTTTTCCGGAGCCCGGCCCTCCCGTTGGACGCCGTCCCCGTTGAAAACGCAAAWACGCGCCGCCACCACCGACGCCGCTCTTCTTAATCGCATGTATTATTATTATAATATTTCATCTCCCGAGAACCATAAAATCACGACCAATCTCCGCAGCTTGCCAAGTTTTTCAAAAGGAACATAAAACCGTATCGTTGCTATATAGGACAATTGAAAGTTATACATAGTTTATTAATAAACCTCTGAACAATTATTAACTCCACAATATAATAACGTATAGGTATACATACCTATATTGCGTCTTTTGAGAAGCTATTTAATCCAAAAATTAATTTTCACTATAAAGATTCATGAGATTGACTTTAATATAGTATTATATTTGCTGAACTTAGTATTTTTAAACGAACATTTTTACATTTGGATCAAAAAAATATAAAGCAATAAAGGTATATACGTATAGGTACCTAAAATATGATCTATAGGCTAAAGTATAGTAAAGTAAATATGATATACCTATA